GCCCTACAATACAGTTACTCGGGGTCTGGCACTATGACGAGCAACGGTGGCCTTCTTGTAGTTGTGTGGTATCATCCATTTGTCGATATGATTGTCCGAGGAACAGGCAATATGCAGCCGACAGCGACGTTTTCATTCACTGTAGTGAGCCGCCCGAAAGCCACAGTGCAGAAATCCTTTGCTGTGATGATCATCCACTTGGGCCCACGTAACTCCTCATGGCAGAATTCGGGCGGCTTCTCATCTGCATTCATACAAAATTGACGCTTGTGAGTTTTGGCTCGGAGTCAAGACCACCCATATTTCATCTAAGGCCGGGAGGCGTTTTCTTAGTCGTGAATGACATCTCATACGTAGAACAGTGGTGCAGGCACAGAGTCGGTACTGTTCTCAAGACTCTACACGTAAATTAGATACCCATACGCACACCCTCTTGACCATCCTCAGTTTATCGGACATAACTCGGGCAGCAGTTGCAGCAGGGATGTCAGTCTCGCGGGCAAGCTCGACAAAGGTCCAGGCTCTGATCAGACATTCAGCGCTTGACTTCATCCACCCTTTTTCTTGTGCAGGATGAACATTATGGGACCATCCACGACAACAATTTTTTTCCTTTCTTCCTTTGTTCGGACCTCTCAACCAAATCTTGCACCTTGCATTTCGAGAAGACCACGTAACTACTGGTCCGTCACAGGTTAAATGAGCAGCGCACTTTCCTCTTATGACACCTGATTTGAAAATCCGGCGCTGATTTTCACCACTCGGGCTTCTTTTCAATTTCTCGAGAACTTCTTGTGTGGGGTTTACTAAATTCAAGTATACCTAGCTAAAGGTACCTGCTTCCAAATGGTCTAGGAGCCCGCTGCCCTATCCCTTTGCTTTTCTGCCAATTCCTCTATATGTCTCCACATTTCTGAATGGGATGGTCTAATAGGTTCCAAAGAACAGTCAAAGCGCGTTCGAGCCTTAAATGAAATCAATAAGTTGGAAAGGGACTAGACTTATCCGGTTGGGCTGGTGAATCCATCGTTTCCGCAGAAAGAGCAGTTACGCGAAAAGGAAAAGGTCTGAGTATGTATTGATTAAGTGAACTCGCTGTTCAGAGCAACTGGCGTTAATAGGTTACTATTTCAATGTGGCTCTGGCCACTTTCTTTGTCATCTGATCGTAATTTTCTTGTGGCTCAATGTGGCTCATGCACTCGGATCTAAACAGCAGCTGTACAACTATGTTTCTTTCGCAAAGTCAGACTGGCTTTCTCTGGTCGTGTGCGCTCCGCTAACGCTGAGCTTCGGGAAGGGAAATCACAACGAAGACATTGTTATGTGGCCCTTGCGAACAACCTTCGGCTGCTTTCATACTTTGGGCCACCGTTTTGAGCGTTCCGAGCGTGCGAAAGCGTTTTGAGCCACAAGGAAAGAGAACGTATCGCTCTAGCGTTTTGAGCGTATGCCAGAGCATTCAGAGAGTGCCCGCGAAACGCTCAAAACGATCGATGCTTATTCTCTCTTACAAGGGAACCCCAACAGGTCGATCCGGCCATTTGCAATGAGATGTATATATATGGACGTGTCTTGAGCCGCTGAATCCAAATCTGCCCTCCGAATTTGCGGAACGATTCTCTGAAGGGAGTTACGGACCATTTAATCTCTGGTCTGTTCGCACAAGTTGGGAACGATGACAGCAGTGAGAAGCGGCCGGTGGCCTAGTGGGTAAGCGCGCTGCTTCAGGAATACGAGGTCACATGTTGGAATCACTCACTTTTAGAAAATTTTGCTTTTGTTTAAAACACTTCATATGAGTCCCAAAACACTTCTGTTTGGCCATTTTACCTAGTTCTTTGATTATTTGACAACGGAAGGCGGCCGATTCTCCATTTCTGGTTCCTTTTAAAAACTTTTATTATGAGGATAACCGTTTCTAGAGCTTGCATCAAGAAATGAGGGCCTTACGGATTCAGAGCATTGTCTTCGACGAAATGATAGAAGCAATATAAGTTTTCGCAATAAGCAGAGCTGATGAAAAAGTACTCCCATTACAGTTACAGTTCTCCAGCAATCTAGAGGGAAAGGAGTCCAAAAAATTGTTTTTGATTTTGAACAGTATTCTGCCCACGTGATCTGTGCAGAATTATCCGATATGATCAGCCCTGATTATGATCTGACTCCATGATATGCCCCCCCCCCGTTCGTCTTTTATCTCTAGTCTATTTTCAGTTTTGCTCACCAAAATTTAAAAACTTGTCCTATCCTTGGTAAGCGGCTGGATACTTCAAAGCACATCCTGGTGAATTCGAAACACCTCTTCAGTACCGTGTTTTCTGTTTTGTTGTTGTTTCAGTGTTTTCCCTCTGGACTGCAGGAGAACTGTAACTGTACCGTGTATGGAGAGTACTTTTTCATTCGCTCTGCTCATTGCGAGAACTTATATTGTTTCTATCATTTCGTGGAAGAAGTGCTCTGAATCCGTAAGATCCTCATTTCTTGATGCAAGCTCTAGAAACGGTTATCCTCATAATAAAAGTTTTCAAAAGGAACCAGAAATGGAGAATCGGCCGCCTTCCGTTGTCAAATAAATTAAAGAACTAGGTAAAATGCCGAACAGAAGTGTTTTGGGACTCATATGAAGTGTTTTAAACAAAAGCAAAATTTTTTAAAAGTGAAAGGCAACATGCGACCTCGTGTCTCTGAAGCAGTGCGCTTACCCACTAGGCCATCGGCCGCTTGCCGCATGCAGTTATCGTTCTCAACTTGTGCGAACAGAGCAAGATTAAATGGTCCGTAACTCCCTTCAGAGAATCGTTCCGCAAATTCGGAGGGCAGATTTGGATTCAGCGGCTCAAGACACGTCCATATATATACATCTCATTGCAAATGGCCGGATCGACCTGTTGGGGTTCCCTTGTTAGTCGCTCAGAGCTTGAGGTACGCTCGAAGCGCTCAGGACAAGCATGAACGCAGCCTTAGCTCCGAATAATATGTTCTCTCTCCTTTTGTGCTGTTCCTGATTCTCCCGTTCGGTGACAGCGCGGATGTTCTTCTAGATATAATTCCGTTTTCAACCTGTTCGAAGAATGAGTGGTTTAATATGTAGCAATTGATAAAACTCTGACCGATAGCATGCTTGATGCACTTCTGTTTTTCATTCTAATGAACGTGGTTTCAGCGGTTGCTGCTCTTGCATTTGCTGGTGTTCTAGGGCTAACGCTACTTGTTCTGGGATGTGCGCTGCCGATGTTTGGGTAACTTTTTCCTTTATAATTTCATGTATATACATCTCTATTTAAAACGAGCAGTTCAAAATCTGACAAAGGCTTATAAGCACAAATGCGCCATGCTGTATATTACCTGTTGAGTGATAGATGACATGGTAGTGGTATAGTATGGGTTTTTCGTTGTTATCCTGTTACGTGGCTCTTCGTCTCACAAAGGATGCACAACATCATCCTCTATCCTTGAGCGGAGGGTGGCGTTTTCTACACCTGCGCCAGTTGGGTCAGTAAGTTTGGCATAGTATCTTAACACAGTGGCGAAATTGGGTGTTTGGTTCCTTACCAAGAGTGGGACCAACCAGTCTTAGTCGTATGTTCAGTGCTGTTTGACAAGCAGCTGTCGTTTTCGAAACATCAGTGGTATGAAAGTGTGATTGTTCCATGTAGGAGTGCTTGAGATGCAGGTAATTTATAAAATTGCATCTGTCTTCAATGCCCTTTTCAGTTCGCCCATTGAGGTTTTAAAGGATGACTCAATAGGTGCAGAGCTGTTGTCCCCATCAAGGGAGGCGATGACGTGTCGCATAAATGACCGGAAAAAGTGCTGCACTGTTGGCAGTGACGTTTCAGTAAACTTCATTAGCCTGCTATGTAAAGTCACTGTTGGCAGTTGTCTCTCAATAGGTGATGTGCTAGTACGCGTACTTGCGCTGAATCTGTGCCGTGGGATGCGCTCATACTTCTTAACTCGACGCCTTGAGCTAAAATGAAATATGGATAATCTGGGTTTTGAACCAACGTTTCAAGCAAATGCTTTTCTAGTGAAAAAGGGCGATTCAAAATGCTGATTTTGCCGCCTCTAGCGAACTTTGCCGATCGACACCCGCTTTCTTTTCGCTCAATACGCTATTTTTCTCAAAACACCGGCTCGCCAAGTATAGTGTAGTTCATTGCGGACGGTTGGGCGTGTTCGTGCGGCTGCGTTTGGCGCGGTGCCAAACTCGTTCTCCACGAGTTGTTCAAGCGAGCAAATGACAATACTGTATCATACCTTTCGTATTACTTGTTTTCTACTGCTTTTTGTCGCATGCCCGTTTCAACAAGAAGGCAGAGAACAGCTCAAAGAGGGTGACACACTCATACTGGCTGACACGCCCAACCGTCCGCAGCGAAGTAGAGTGTATGAATGCCGGCTTTTTACACTCTAGTTCGCTGCGGACGGTTGGGCGTGTCAGGCAGTATGAGTGTTCACACCATCCCGTTCTCTGCCTTCTTGTTGAAGCGCGCATGCGACAAAAGTGGTAGAAAACGAGTAATACGAACGATATGATACAGTCATATCATTTGCTCGCTTTAACAACTGGTGGAGAACGGGTTTGGCACCGCGCCAAACTCATCCGCCTGACACCGTCCACAGCGAATTACACTATATATCGGTGAGAGAACAGCTGGTTTGATTTCACTCAAGTTACTTTAGCACTTAATAACTTTATCTGCTGACCTTTTTTTGAAGATAGATTGGTTCCAAATGGAAATGAGCATTCAGCAGGTCAATAGCATAGTGAAACCTTCCTTTTTGAGCTTGTGAGGAAGTCCGTTGTTGCTTCTCTGCGCACCACTATTTTCATTGTGGTGAACAAAGCATGGTGCCCGCATGCACCACGTTTTTGTGCTTGCGGTAGCGACTTTTTGAGAATCACGCTTCGTTTTTTTTTCAAAATTTTGTTCTTTCAGTAACTGGTCACCTTTGTTTGTTATTGCTTTTTATATATTCGCGCCAGTGCCGCTTATGATTGCCCGACGTTTTCAGGAAGACATGACTGGTACTTGAGCTTTTACAAATAGTATTTTTTCCTTATCTTATTTTCATTTTAAGGTACGAACGCTTGCGTTGAGTTAGCGTTGTTTATAACAACAGCTATTGTAGTATCAGCTTTCGCTCTTCCCACTGTTCTCGCACATGCAGGAACTGTGAGTTGTTTTCGTTTATTGAGCATTTCGCTTTTGATATCTTGGAAGCATTATCGAAAACTGAACACTCTTGAAACTATGGCATTTCGGATTTTCGGAAGTGTTATAAAAATGAGAATGAAGTGGTGGAGTGGAAAGTGACACGCTTACCATTCACTCGATCCTGGGGTCAAATCCTCTTTCAGCTTCCGCCCAGGATAACCAAGCCTCCTACTTCGGGAACATGAAATTTTCACCGGACTCGTCTGGTAGGATAAGAAACTTGACTTGTACAGCTTACATCGGATACATGCAATAATTCTCTACATTTCTCTAACTTCGTTGAATTCTTGTTTTCTTCTATTGTACATCGGCTGGCCCCCGCAAGTCGTTGTATGGGCCAGATCGCATTCAGTAAGCCACCACGATTCTGAGTGGAAGTAGAATGTGTGCTACATCGCGCGGAACTCACAGCATTCGATTCGAGCGTGACCCCTTTGCTCTTCTCTGCTGTCTGCCATACTCGAACTGTCTTGCCGCTTCTGTGATTTCACCTGTCCTCATGTGCATCAAATGTCTTGAGTCGACTACCAGCCAGCCCTCATGGCGTGGTAACAGGTTGCATGATGCGACACCGACTTTTTTTTACACGGTAGGTAACTTTGGAACTGAGTGATTAGAGAGAGGACATATTTCCGCATATCGTAATTTCAACCCACTATACGCTTCACTGCTGGGTTGAGCGTTTCCGCAGGGTAGGTGGTCTGCTATGCGGCTGTAGTAGCGTATCATTCCGCTAACTGGAAGAACACAACAGTGAGCCTGGTGCGTGGTGAACAGTGGTGTTCATATTTCACCAGCCTGCAATCAAAACACATTACAGACATGCAACATGCCGCACGACCAGACATACATACTCCTAACAGTAGCAAGACGCGCTGCACCCTTTTATTTTTACTGTGTTTCTATGCAGCTTGATTCAATACATGCTGTACGTTGCAGTCATGTTACGAAAATGTTCGATGCGTTATCGTGGTCTCGCAGGTTGAGAGATTATGTTGCGCAGAGCGTGGGGTGGAGCGTATCACATGTCGGGTAGCTATTAGGGGAGTAAAAGTAAGTCTAGCTAGCACAAACTTTCAGCTTCACTGCCACTGACTTCCAAATGGCCAGGGTAGTTCTTGCTACAGCTGCGCTCATCCCATCCACAGTGAAGATGTTCAGATCGCAAGTAAACCTACTGTGTGCTTTGAAGTGAATTCGAATTGTTGCAGACGATACAAGGTTCTTTCCTAAATAAACTTCAGTTCCATCTTTAGAAGAGCCCTTAAAAGTATTAACTCATATAGCTGATGTCCTTCAAAGCCTTTCAAGCATCTTGCGCATGCAATGTTTTTCCAATGGACCGACAAAAATGGGTGTGTGGCAACAGAACCGTCCGGTACAGCTGGTGGGCGTGGCCTGCGACATATTAGGTTGTCCGGAAAGTTCTCAGCGTTTTGTGCACCTATTTTTTGTACATTCACTGCTGATTAAAAACTCATTCTGCCTTGCTTCTCAGTAGCACATCCTGTAGAGAATTTCTTGCGCTATCTGATGGTATAATTGCCGTTTCACCATTGCTTGATAAACCCCCTTTTTTCAAGATTTTTTCAAGCATGTGAAAAGAGCACTTCGGACGATTTTTTTCTTCGACTATAAATTGGGGCAATCCGCAATCGAAACAGCTCAACAAATTAACCAGGTGTGGGGGCCCAATAGTGCTAGAGAAAGCACTGTGCGGCAATGGCTCAACAAATTTCGTTCTGGAGATTTCAGCCTTGAAGATGAACCTCATAGCGGTCGACCTAAAGCAATATCTGACGAGGATTTTAGGGGGATTTTGGAGGCTGACCCATCCCAAACAGTTCGAGAGATAGCAGAAGAGCTAGGCCTTGCAAATCCACTGTTGCAGATGGTCTGGAACGCATTGGGAAGGTGAAAAAACTCGACAATTGGGTGCCCCACAATCGGAGTGACCGGCAGGAATCGGCACGTCTCGAGGTTCCTTCTGCATTGCTTTTGCGCAGCAGAAACGACCTGTTTTTGGACCGAATTGTCACCTGTGATGAAAAATGGATCATGTATGATAACAGGAGACGTTCCGGACAGTGGTTGGATTTTGACGGAACCACCGAGGTAATTTTCAAAGCCGAACCCTCACGAAAAAAGATTCTGGTCACGGCTTGGTGGTCATCGGCTGGTGTGATCCACTATAACTTTTTATCACCAGGCCAAACCATCACAGCAGAACCTACTTGAAGAAATCGACGAATTGTACCGAAAATTTTGTCAGATGCAGCCAACACTTATCAAAAGAAAGGGTCCGATTCCTTTGCATGACAACGCCCGCCCACACGTTTCACAAATCACTATCCATAAATTGAACGGGGTTGAAGTTCTACCTCAACCGCCATATTCTCCAGACCTTTCACCAACCGACTATCACCTTTTCAAACATTTTCAGAACTTCCTTGCTGAAAAATACTTCATCAATTAGGACCAGGCAAAAAAGACCTTCGTAGATTTCGTGGATTCTCGACCACCCAGTTTTTTCCTTTGATGGGATTTCTCGACTGCTGTCACATTGGCAAAAGTGTGCTGATTCGAATGGTGCCTATTTCGATTAAATCCGATGAGTATTAAAAAAGTTACGATCGTTTAAAGTGAAACACCCAAAACGCTGAGAACTTTCCGGACAACCTAATACTTGCGGCGAGAAGACGAAACGTGCTTCTGGCAGCTTGAATAGGGTTATTGAAGGGAAGGTAAATATTGATATCACCCAGGATCGAGTCTTGTGTTCACGGTTAAGTTTTCAGTTAGAGTACGAACAAGTTCAATAGAGCACGAAATCACTAGGGTCTTTAACCCATTGCGTACCGCGTGCTGCACATGGTGAAGCACTCTTCGTGTGAACTCATTTAGCATTGTTAGATGACTGAAAAGAGTCGGTATATTCCTGAAGTCGTCTGGGACAAAATATGTGGGGGAAATTGCGAGATTGAATAATAGCTAAGTTGCTGGCATTTTCGAGTAATACCTCAACTATTACATTTTTTAATTAACTCTCCTTTACCATTAAAACCGAAATCCTGCTTAGTACACGACTGAAAAATTGTAAAATGGTGTGAGTGAACAGCTTCTAAGCATATTGCGTCACTTTTTTCTTCTTCTTAATTTTATCAAGCTTTTTTGGCTAGTTTCGCATTTTTCGGCTTTACACTTTTATCACGTAACAATATTGAATCCCGTTTAGCATACGTTTACATATAAAAGTGATGCATAATACGATGTGTGTACAATATTTTTATGTTATATGTATAAGATAAAAATCTTATGTTTTTATACTCAGCGCGCCAGAAATCGCGTCGCGCAAATACACTGCGGTACGCAATGGGTTAACATTTGCTCTGGTTTGTCATCTTTTAACAGCTCACAGAAAAACTAGGTCATCCGTCTATTATATTGACACTGGCGACTGCGTAAATCATGTGAACTATTACGTTGATGCATATGTTTCCTCCCCACCCCTCCCCTCCGACTTTTTTGTAAATATCTCAGTAGAACCAGCCTGAAGATTAGAGGTATGCACCATCACCATCCACTACTCGACGCCAACGCTCAGGCAGCTTGTCGATTCCATCCTCCCAGAAGGACGGGGGCTGGGACCCGAAGAAGGCCACAATGCCGCACAATCACCACTGTGACATGGTTTCACAGTGGTTGTGCCTGCAAATGCAGGGTGGGTGAGTGATAGCTAGTGTGATGAAAGTTATCATATACTCTATATTTGACTGGAATCTCGCTATTAACGAAGGAAAAGGTGTTGACATAATCTATTTCGACTTGTCCAAAGCCTTTGACAAAGTGGATCATGGAAAACTCCTTCCATAAATTATGGCTTTTGGGGATCGAAGATCCCATCCTTGGATGGATCTCCTCCTATTTAAAAGATAGGCACATGTGTGTCAAAATGGGTTATAGTTTCTCGCGAAGTATCCTTTGTTCTAGCGGAGTCCCACAAGGTGGTGTGTTGTCACCTCTACTGTTCCTAGCGTATACCTTTGATCTGCCCGCTTATCTCAATACTCATCCATTAGTGAGGACCAAAATATATGCTGACGACATTAAGGTGTATGGTGTTTATAATAATGATAATTATGACTGCGTGCAACAAGCATTAACCCAATCCGTATGCAACATGATGGAGTGGGCTACTGCTTGGGGAATACCTATAAATTTCACAAAGGCGTCTGTACTTCGTATAGGAGCAGCTAGGGTTGTACCGTACACAAT